CCCTTCTCTCATTAGCTAAAGCATAGACTGACCATTTAAGAAAAAAGAAAAACATAATCCAATATACTTTCCTGAGGTTCCTATATTTTTGCCCTGGTACCACTATAATGTATTAATTCTGCAAAGCCAGGAAAAAGTATTTCCTTCTTTTCTTTCTTTATTGTACTTTTCCTTCCTACCTTCCTTTGTTTCTTTCTCTCCACACAAAGTTTTCATTAGAGAATGACAATTTTAAAATTTGTTTTGCCTCATCTTTTAGAGACTTATCCTTTCAATTGGGAAAAATAAAGTAAAATTGACAGATTTAAACCATGTATGTCCTGCATAAGGTTTATTGCCACTAAAGCTGCTAAGAAACTTTCCTGCTTATAAGGGTGCTTTATATATTTTTAAGTATACAGAATATTAAGCAGAATACACATACACACACATCTTCCGAGATAACACTTTTTGTTTGTTTTGGAATGTATATTTCTTTTCATATTTAAGAAGAATGAATAGGATTAAGGGCAATGAATAGCAAGAATTCATTTCCATTTAGTAAAGTTAAAGTTAGCTTAAGATGACCTTTTTTGGTCTTTTCATTTTTATCTGTTACTAGGTTAGTAAAACAAAACAAATCATCTAAGGAAAGAAATAAAGAATGATAAATTTAATAATGTGTTCTTGCATGGAGGAGGAAGTCTTCGTTGCTGTACATTACCCAGTGTAGTTGGCTGTAAAACAGACACCCAAGCACTATGTATAAACACACTTTATCTCCAAGTGCAAATATAGAAACCATAGAACAGTCTGTGCTGTGGGTGATTTCTTAGCCTTTTTAGTAATGGTTCTATAAGACAACAGACTGCTGAGTGATAAGGGAGAGTTTGAAACATAAATTCCATATTAAATTATTGGCTGCTGTTCAAATTGTGTCTGCTTAGAGTACCCAGCAGCAAAGTATGTCCCAAGCAGGATTCCAAACTTAAATAATACATTCTCCTACCTTTCCTATAATCTATGAAGTTGAGATCCCAAACTATCTGCATCCAAGAATTTTGTATGCAACAAAGATTAAAGTAAACAAATAACTACATTTAAGGTGTAATAAAGCCATACTAGCTTAAATTTATTAAAGAATAAATTATAAACTACAGATTTTATAAGTCATTTAATGTTCAAAAAAACTTTATAAGGAAATAGCATTATTACCCTCATTTTACAGATGAAGAAACTGAGACACAGAGATTAATTTGCCTAAGGTCACCTTGAGCTGAAATCTGAATCCAGGCTATCTGACTGACTTACTCAAGTACTAACCTTTTCTGACTCCTCTTCCATGAACATATTCTGGTTATATCCTCAACTCAGATTTAAAGAAACAAAATATATTTTTATTAGCTTATCTTTTTTTCTATTTATTGTTAGATGTATTAAAAACAATGTAAAAACAATTTTATACTGCAAACTTTTAGATGTCATTTTTCTAATAAATTGTTAACTAATCTTTTTTCTCTTAAACCTTTCTGTTGAGATAAATCTCAACATGAGCTTGCCCCCTCATTTCTCCTAGTGCTACCTTTCTAAAACCCACAAGTTTAAAGAAGGAAGATTAGACAAATGAATGAAAATGTGGATTAAACAAACTGTGTAAAATCTTATATCTTAAGGAATATGTTTTATGAAAAAATGCTCATCTGCCAAAAAAGGAAAACACAGGTAGCATTATTTAGACTGCGTAAACCCCAAAGTTTCACTTCTAAACAATAAATAAAAATTATAACCACAAGGAAACTGGTGCTTAATGAATATATTAAATATTTCACAAATTTCATTGGAAAATTCCATAGGGTTTCTTACTGAATATCCATTTAAAAGAGTAAATTTCACCACTTTGCCCATCTTAAAATATAAATACTAAGAGAATGTTTTTCCTTTGGTGAATACAGAACAAATTGCTTCGAAAGTATGATTCCTGCTTTATCTCACCCAATAAGGTTACAGTTTTCACGAGAAATTAAAGATAACACTGAAAAATGTCTCTTTTTCAAAATATCAAGAGAAAAAGAACAGAAAAAGGATCATAACACATTTAAATGTTTTCTTGTTCAAAGCCAGATTCTAATTCACGATCCACAAACAGGAGCCATGATTTAAATGAATTGTACCAAAAGTAACTGTAAGTAGAACCTGGCACGAAAAGATAACAAAAGTATATAAGTTACAGTATTTAGAGGTCTAGGTAGATACACAGGATGTGTGTGTGTGTGTGTGTGTGTGTGTGTGCGCGTGCATGCATATATACATACACAGTCCTGTCATATTTCCCCTTTCTATTTTATTCCTGAGAGATACAACATCATTTCCACAATCAAGTACATGAGTGTAGTTAAAAGTGTTTGTAATTTTTCTGTGCATGGTAAAACTATGAAGACTTTCCTTGAGAAATTTCTGAAGTAAAAAGTTATTAACTTACAGTTGCTTTTCTTGATTCTATACTTATCCATACTTTCTCTTATCATCAGATATCAGAGCCACAAATGTGAATGGAACATCCGCAACATGCCTGCAGCTGAGAAGCTCCAAAGCCAAGTGATGCTTAGGATACTGCCTTGCACCTAATAGACGTCATAAAATTGTTCTGAATATAAAGAGGCAAGCCCTACTTAAAAGTACCCTAATTCTAACAGAGCACCAAGCTGTCTAAACTTAGAAAGAATCACTTCTAAAATGTATGGTCCAGAATATCATTGTGAAAGTGGAAGACTCTGATCTGGGTCTTAAAGAGTAGGCAAAGTTTCTACAGGACCAGAGAGTAAATGTCTTCCAGGCGGGGAGAATAAAAGCTGGGGCAAAGCTGGGGTATTGAAATGTTCGCTGATTATGTGTTTGGAGAATGGCCCATAATCTGAAATACCTGAAGCAGAGGGACCTTGTTGTTGAGTCATAGTAGTGAGACTGGAAAAGTTAAGTAGGTGCCAGATGATGGAAGGTTTTCAAAATACCCAGCCTAGGTGTTTGGCAGCTACTAGAAGTCCCAGAAGATAACTGAAGAGTAGATAGACAAACATAGCAATGCTTTAGTAAAACCAATCTCGTGGTCATGGGAAAGATGATTTGGATGGCAACAAGGGGTAGGAAGGAACAGCAGTGTTACAACCCAAACTAGCATGAACAGAACAGGCATTAGTGTGGTGGAAGACATGGCAATGGAATCTAACAACTTTCATGGTAAAGGGGAAAGGGACGATTCCAAAATGTCACAGAACTATGAACTTGAGTGAATAGGAGAACAGATCTGCATTGTCGTGGAGAGCCTGATTGTTCATGTAGTGGAGGAAACCGTGTGGTTTAGCCTGAGCTGAGTTGCTCATGATTCTCAAGAATAAATGTATGACAATGAAGACAATTAATGATACTGAAAAATTCACTTCATAAGCAAACACGACTTTCACACAGGGCCAAATGCTGCACTCAGTTATCGCCACACTGTCCCACTGACTCCAAAAGAAATTACATGCCTAGAATCAATGGTAGATTTTGGCCTTACACATACATTTTTAAGCCAACAACGTGACCCTTCTTAGCATAAAAACAAGAACAATGTAAAGCATTTAGTTCTGACTTTTCAAACTCCTTTGAGACAAAGATATTTCATCTCTACTAAAGCACCAGGAGTTTCATTCTCTAATAGTAAACTTACCAGAGTGCCTTTTGCACTATTATTTGTACATATTTGTATCATATGTGATTCACTTATTTACTGTATAAACAAGTAATCAGAATTATAAAACATAATACATACTGAAATGGGTGCCCTGTTTCATTTTCCTGAGTATATGCTATATAAGCTTTAATTAGCTTTTCTTAAAAGAGGATCATTTTCTGAAAAGGCTGATACATTCTTATTTGTCAACAAATAATATGTTCAAAACTGGTCTTGGGTACTTTCTTTACATTGATAGAATAGACTTTAAAAATTCCAATTAAAATGTGCTTCAATAAATTCTTTGATATTATCCTTAGACTAGAAAAATTATTCAAATCATCATGTTCATTTAGAGGAAAAATATTTTTATGCAAATCTAGCCCAATTACAAACCACCAGATGTCAATACTAACTATGTCAACAATGTACAGCCATAAGTTGTCATATTCAACATGAAATTGGTTACTCTAAGCATTCTGATAAAATTGCATGGCAACTCATGGAAGGGGAGACAAGATGTCATCACATGAAAGGAGGATTTCCTTCACACTATAGTAAACACATTCATACACACATACATGCAACTTAAGAGAAAACGTTTTCTAATTAAGTTTTTAAAAACAGAATCTGTTATATCTAAACACAAGCATTAATTTATTTTTTAAAAATACACAAATATCATTATCTTGAGTAGTTATAGTCAACAACTTCAAGAGTAGTGATTTAATACCAGGCATATTTTATGCCCAGTCAGAAGCCTTCGGGGTGACTCTAGTGTAACGAGGTCAGAACCAGCACAAGGTGTACCAGTGTAATCAGAGAATTAGGCAAAAGGAGACACATACAACAGCAGGTTTAAAAAGTACAGCAATACAAACACCATGCGGGACTTTCCTCTCATTTACCACACAAGCTGGTTAGCTAGTTTCAGTAAATGAAAGTTATTTTACTTCTAGGGCAGATATCCTTTTCATTGCTTAGCCATCCCAATTGTGAAAGGAGATGTGAAATGTTCTTTGTCATATTTCTGTTACCTGCCGAAGAGCATTAACTTGGCAGAAATATTTTGATGTCTACTAAAACACGATAAAATTATGTGTTTAAAAAGGAATCGGTATGATTTTGAGGAAAAGATGATGTTTCTGACTTTTTAAAAATAATTCACAATGGTTATAATTTCTAAATGTGCTATCACATCGTAGAACAGGAATAATCAAAGGAAACAGACAAAACAGAATGGAAGAGAACTCTCTTCTTGTGGAAACAGATATTTCTTAAGAGAGCAAGTAGTTATTTATTTTGGTCTTACCTGACGGCAGCTCCTTTAACCAAAGGTATGTCCTCTATGGAGGTAGTTTATCCTTTGAAGAACCCAGTGGCTTGTCTCACAGCCCAAGACAGATTTGAGTTCTTAAAAACTATCCAGCTCAAAAGAATACAGAGGAAAAAGCTTTTCCCACTTTCTTTCCCAGAACTAGCCAATAGCTGAAGTCATGCAGGAAACAGAGTAGAGAGGGGGGAAAGCAGCTTCTTCTCCCTGAAATCCCGATCAGCAGAAATTGGAAGTTGTTGTATATCTCTCACCCAGACTTTTGTTTAAAAGTTTTTTCAACTGTTGCTAGGTGTTGTTGGGTTCTGAGATTAGGTTTCTCTTCTTCTGCTCCCTTCACAACACTGTCAGAGCAATGACTATGTTGAGGAGCTGAGCTCGCGGGTGCTATATTTAACTGGTGTTCTCAGCAAGTCAAGCCTGTCAACAGCTGAGAAGTTTGGAGCCGGCTTTACTCAGTTCCTAAGCAGCTGGGTTATCAGTGGATATAGCGCTGCTCACCCTGTAAAAGATTGCGGGAAAACCGACAGACCCTTTTAAGGACTTCTGCTTATTTCACAGAGGTAATTATTGTTTGAAGCTCTTAACTACAGACTGAGATTTGGGACTTAGGTTTTAAAATGTGAAGAGAAACAGAGCAGCTGTTGTCTTGGGCAGAGCAATTTACTAATGCAATATTCTTCTCAATTAGGCTCTCTCAGATAAATGTTCTGAAATAAAAAGTGCTTTTTAAAAGTATATCACTTCTTCTGCATAAAGGGAGGTTTCAAAAAAGTGTATCACATCTGTTGGTTGTGAAAATGAATACGAGATCACTTCCAAACAGCGTTTGACACCGGTGTGTTTCATTTATAGCTAGATCACTTACCTAGACATATCAGACTTTTGTCCAGCTATGTACCTGAATGTTATTAAAATAAAATTACCATAAAGGAATGTCTATAACATTATGATTTTGAAAGGAGTAACGTTAAGACGGAAAATCTTAGCATCCTCACTCAGGTCATTCATTCAAAGTAACACACGGTAAACACTCCAGGAAATCCAGGACACGAGATACCTCTGGTTGTTAATAGGCTTGCCTCATCATTAACCCTCAAGTCTCCACAACATGAAGAATTTCTCAAGATACTTTATGTGCTTCATCCTACATAATAAAACGGTATGAATCTGCTGAGACTGAAACTTTCTAAAAATTGTTTAACTAGTTTTGGGGACTGTTTTACTAATTACATATGTGAAATTAACACTAAGGGAAACTGAGGGAGGTCCTTTTGGCCACAGGTAAAATAGGAAGGGAGGCACACACACCACACACATACACACACACACACACACAGAGAGAGAGAGAGAGAAGGAGAGAGAGAGAGAGAGAAACATTATTGATTAACAAACTAGAATATGGCCCTGACAAAAATCTCACCAATACCGTTATAAAGGTTGACCCTCTTCCTGAGATCAATTTGTCAGATTAAAGATACCCTCTTTTTGACATGCAAACTGAAGATGAACCAAAGACATATGTAAAGGTGTGGATGTAATATTTTAAGAGTTGCATACTTGCAGTAAGTAGCTTATGTACTGGGTAACTCTATGTCTCTGAGAAAGTTTGCCACTTCAATCAGGAGTGTGTGCGTGTCCTTCTTTTTAAAGAAATGACCCTCACCTGCTCAAGCCATTCGAAAACATCTCAGTTCTTCTCACTCCAAATAGCACACTGACAGCATGCAACCTGCCCCCTTAACGTACTTACTACCATACACATGTAAAATTGCATTTGTTCAGACTCAGTCTTTCTGAGTCTGAGCCAATCTTGATTTAAAAAAAAAAAAAAAAAAAGTCCTTCTATTAAGATGAAAGAGCTCTCATGTGAAATTGACTGACTCTTCTTGAGCTAATGGATCTTTTAGAAACTTAATCTATTCACAGTCCCCAAAAGTGGGTTCTAATAGAGGTAGAAAGTATATAAGTGAAGTATGAGATAATTCAGAATCATCAGAACTTTTAAAAAATTACAAAGGGGCCAGGCACAGTGGCTAACACCAGCACTTTGGGAGGCTGAAGTGGAAGGATCACTTGAGGACAGGAGTTCAAGGCCAGCCTAGGCAACAGAGCAAAACCCTGTCTCTACAAAAAATTAGCCGACCATGGTAGCACATGCCTGTAGTCCCAGCTACTTGGGGAGCTGAAGTGAGATGATGGCTTGGGACCAGGAGGTCATGGGTGCCGTGAGCCATGATTGTGCCACTGCACTCCAGCCTGGGCAACATGACCCTGTCTCCAAAAAAGTGGGAGGTCAGGGTGGGATGTGGATAAATTACTGTTTGAAAATATATACACTTCCCCTCACACACACCAAATGCAACAGCCCCAGGTTAAAATCCACTAAAAATAACTCTGGGTATATATTATTTGACCCCTACTAAGAGTTTACTTTACAGATATCTTCAGACCAAAATGAATCAAAGAAGAGTGGTAGCCAAATGTCGAGATAACTGAGGGGAAAAACCCCCTTTGCCCTTATGGCCAAAAAAGGGTGATAGATTTATTTCTTCTGTAACTATCCAGATAATTAAAGTTTTCAGTTTTGTTTTGTCTAATGAATACCTATTCCCTCACCGTGGTTTTCCTTAACCTTTGGATTAGCTGTCTATTGTTGCTATTAGTTTATTTTTAAACAACGTGGTCACAAGCCACAGTATACAGAATAATTCATACAATTAGATATTCATATAATTGCTATCATCAAATTATGTTCTTTAATTATACTAGGCATATGTACATGACTGACTCGGTATTCTACAATAATCAGACTTTCTCTCTCTCTCTCTAACACACACACTCACACACACACAGGCAATAAAGTAAATTTATTTTGAAGGCTTTTCCCCCCGGGAATGATTATTCAGACTAAAGCATTTCCGACATAATCTGCAGAGGAAGTGGTGCAGCTAAGAACTATTAGAAATTTGTGTTTTGTATACAGTCAACAAGGAACTGCTGTTTCAACACATATTGTTAATATATTACTGTTCAGCTGCATCCTTTCCCACAGCCCTAAGTGTGAGCATTCTGAGAACCTCTGATCCATTTATAAGTAAAGCTGAATATCCCAACCTCAAGGATGAGTCATGATGAAAGTTTTTAATAAGAAGATAGACTAATGCTATCAGGGGTGGGAGGGAAAGGCAAATAAATTAAATAAGAGCATTGACCCATTATCTCTACACCCATTTCTAAAACCAAATTTTCCCGCCTTGTTCATTGAAATAAGCACAGTGATTTTTAAAAGCAAAAGTAAGTTAAGTTATTTAATAAGTTAATTAAGTTCTTTAATATACCAGTGAAGAGAAAAATAGACATTTGCTTCAAAACAATGTTTACTTTAATAATGTTTGGGGGTAGTGGGTGGGTGGCATGAGACAAGTTTTCAATCAAACATGCTCTGTTAACATTTATTGCCTGACTCTGAGATGATGAATATAAGCTCACCGGTACCAGAGAATTTTTCAGTTTGTTTTTCTCCGGCTACCTAAGCACCACAGTAAGTGTTCAATAAATAAGAAAGACTGAATGAGCAAATGAACATATAAAAGATTAAAGAAAAGATAAAGAAAACTATAGAGCATACAGAAAATGCTTCCAGGCTCTCTGGACAGAGTTGGGTCATCATTAGATACCTATAAAAAAATTGTAGAAGGAAATTATTTTATTGTGAATTAATTATTTTAAATTTGTTAATTTTTTATTGTTGTTGTTGTTTGAGACAGAGTTTCACTCACTCTGTCGCCCAGGTTGGAGTGCAATGGTGTGATCTCGGTTCACTGAAACCTTCACCTCCCAGGTTCAAGCAATTCTCTTGCCTCAGCCTCCTGAGTAGCTGGGACCACAGGCATGCGCCACCAAGCCCAGCTAATTTTTTTTTTTTTTTTTTTTTTTTTGGTATTTTGGACTGAGGCGGGGTTTCAGCCATGTTGGCCAGGCTGGTCTTGAACTCCTGGCCTCAAGTGATCTGCCCTCCTTGGTCCCCAAAAGTGAATTTGTTAAAATTTCAAAGAAAAGTAATAGATCTCAGGATAATAATTAAAATATCTATGTAACATTTACTATTAGCCAGACACAGAGTTCTAAGGGCTTAACATATATTAACCCAATTAATTCTCACAATAACTTTATGAGGTGGGTATTATTATTATCCCACATTTTACAAGCAAAAAAATTGAAGCACAGAGATGTTAATAAGTTGGCCAAGGTCACATGTTAGTTGGTAAATAGCAGGACCAGAATTTGAACTAGTAAATCTGGTTCCAAAAATATGTGTTCTTAACTACTTAACTGCCTCTTACATACAATAGTCACAGTAGCCGGTTCTTATCAATCACTGAGGGTTAAGGCATATGAACTTCACTAGCCCTGAATATATATACTTCTGATCAACAAATACATTTAAAATCCAACAGTTTTGGAGGACATAGAAAAAAAGATGGGATAATTTCATGATTAGCATAGTAAAATAAAAATTCATTGGAACTGAAGTCCTGTTGAATACCAGAAAAGAAAAAATTGGACCGAAAAGAAAATAATTGCTTTAAGAAAAAGTCTATTTTTAAGCAAAGGATATGAGCTGTTCAGTATTGTTTCTAAAACAAGCAATGCATGATGTTTTATGATGAATGAGTTTAACGCTTAATGAAATTCTAAAATTACATTCTAAAAATATACTTTTGGTCTATGATTTGATAAACAATTTAAAAATGTTTTGGAGCTATGTGTTCTCAAAGATGTAACCAACAACAAGAAAAAATGAAAAACAATGTAGGGGAAATCATACATTAGTAAGTTATTTGGCATCAACATAATATTATATTACACTTGATATAATCAGCTTTCACAATTTGAAGATACTTGCATTTTCAATTAATCTAGCTATTCTTCTATTTAGATTTTATAAAACCTTAAAAGAAACAGCACTAGCACTGTTATAATAACATATACATATATTTGTAATAAAATAAATACTTGTCCTGACAATTAATAAGTACTGTCACACCCACAAATATTCATAAAATATTAAATTATTTATTTTTCCAACTGCTTCAGGAAAGAGAAAAACTAGGTTTTAAATAAACTAATAAGATAATATTTTTGCTTTTGCCATAAATTAAGCACTTATATGCATGTATTAGACATTAAAATTCCCACTTCTCTGCACGTGTGCTTGAAAGTGGGTTATTAGAACTTAATCCTAAAAGTTGTTGTTTTTTTGACACCCCATAAGCCAACCTCTGGAGGACAAGCCTACTAGAACATGTCTAATCCTTAAAGTTATTTCAGGACCATATTCTACAGACACTTACAGATCACAAGCATCCTACTTTTCAATAGGGTCAGATAAC